ATTGCTTGAGGCTGTCTTTGGAAGTTACAATGTGAAGCGATTACCCTTAGGGTAGGGTGTTTTCATGCTGATATGAAAACCCTTAATAGATCAGCAGGTAACTGAAAATATTCTCTGCTGGGGGAACATCTGCCTCTGGTGATTAGAACATTTTTAGGGAGGTTTTATGGGTGGTTCACCCTCACTTCTTCCTTCCCAAAAACAAGTGAGTGAACACTCAAAACAGCAACAGAGCAGACCTTAACTCTGTCTGGGGTCTTGCTGTGGTAGGTGTTTTAAGTGTCCCAGTATCAAATTAAGACTTCCAGTTAGAAATCCTGGGTACTCTTGAAGATGCTTCAGGATTAGATCTTTAAGGTCTTCAAAGGAAAGAAAAGTAAAAGATAGCCTTTCTTATTTAATATTTAACTGTAAAACCCTTAAGAGACACCCCCCCCCACCAAGGTCACCAGGAATTTGGATGCTGCCTCTATTTCTGTAAAGTTTCTGTCCAGAGCAAGGAAGGAACCCGCTTCTCACACCATCTTCCAAGGAGTGAAAGTCAGCATCTAGAATCACATCCCAATGCATCCCCCTATTCTGTAGCAGCCCATTAACCCACAAGAGCGTGATAGTGTGCCACGTGATCAAACATTGTACCACACGGTGCGACCACAAGTGCGTGGGCTTCACAGTCAGATCAACCTGGAATCAAATATCAGTACTTTCTAATTTCGATCAGGGCCACAGGGGCTCCTGTGTTCCACTGTTCTTTCCCCATCTGTGGTATTTAAGAAAATTATCAGAGAGACACAGAGGAACCAGACCAAAGCAAATAAATATCAACTTCATTGCCAGTAGAGCTGACTGGAAGATGTGGCTCCGGACTGGTAGCCAAGTGAGGTCAGTACTTTGTCACTCCATAAGTAAGATCACTATTGGCACCTAGAACACAGGCTGTACTCATGTTAAATCTAGTACATGAGTGGGCAGAGCATATGGGAACTTCCTGGGACAGTGTGGATTCAAAGAAGAGAAAAACGCGGAAAGAATGGTCAAGGGAAAGTCTTGGGTTTTCTCATGCCAGATTCACCTGGGAGGAGAATAAATGAAGCCTGAAGAAGGCCAGGAATATTGCTTAATAAAACCTGATCTAGAGGACCATGTGCAAGGCCTTAGTAAGTATCGTCACATCACTGTGTCTCTGCGCAAGCTCCTTACATTTATGAGCCTCATAATGCCTTGTCTATAAAATGGGAATAACACTAACTGAACAGAGTGTTATGGTGTTTACTGGCACCTTAGGTTTGCCACTAAATAATGCTGACTAGTTTGGTCAGCTTCGTCTTACTGTGACAGAATTATTAGGAAATTTAAAAGGAGGAAACGTTTGTTATGGCTTATGATTCGTGAGGTTTCAGTCAACGGTCACTTGATACTGTTTCTTTGGGCCTGTGGCAGCACAGAGTGGCATGGTGGGAGTATGGGGTGGAGGAGATCTGTTCACCTCACAGTGGCTAAGAAGCAAAGAGGGAGAAAAGGAGGCTGGGACACCAATGTCCCTTTCAAGGGAGCCCGCACTGACCTAATTTCCTCTCACTAGGCCTCACCTCCTAAAGGTTCCACCCCCAGGAGTACTACTTGCTAATAACCAAGCTGAGGACCCAGCCTTTAACACACAGGCCTTTGGTGGGCATTCAGAATTCATAATGTGATACTGGTAGATTTTCTAATCTATTCCTTACTTATCTTTTCCTGCTATATTCTAGGTCAGTGTAAATCAAAGATGTCTCTAGGCAGAAGACAATTCACTCTTCTCTTTCCTAAGATTAGGGATGGATGAAAAACAATAAGAATTAGTGTTTAAAAGTTCTGCTCTGCAGTTTAATACTCAGATTTTTGAGATCGCTTGCCTTTTAAAAATATGAGCTTTCGAAGCCAAAGATAACCCTTTGCAAATAAATGTGTCCGCCTTTGCATTCCCATATCCATGCACCTGCTATCCAAGGTAGAAACCTGGCTTTGTTTTATGTTGCATTTCCAAGATGTACAGAATCCTAGTTTCAAGGTCTGGAAGAGCACCTCCTAATTACTGTCTCATCAATATTTTGTAGGTGGAGCAGAGACTCTGGTTTCCAAGAATATATAATGCTTGGTCCTTGTATTTTACTTGACCAGAAGTTAAACTTTTTTATTTTTTATTTTTTGTCTTTTTCCTTTTTATCAGTACCAGGGATTGAACTCGCAACTGCCTGCTTGCAAGGCAGGCACTTATGCTGCTGAGCTAAATCCCCAGCCCCCAGAAGTTAAACTTTTGCTAGAGGCTGAGACACATTGGGAAATGTTCTGACCTTGATGGAGCCATGCAAAACCTGGCCAGGTGCTGTGTGCAGGGGGCAGCGGGGAAGGGAAGTAGCTGGGCAGCCTCTGTACTGACTTTGACTCCATGCCCAGACTCTTGAAGAGCCCTGATTTAACCCAGAAAGGTTTACTAGGACCTAACATCCTCATCTGACCATCAGACAGATTCAGAATTCATTGGATACCGTGATGCTTTGGAGAGAGTTTCATGAACGTCTCTTTTGCACGAATCTAATGTTGTGAATTGATTATTATGCTTCTCCACCCCCCACTTTGCCTGTCACAGCCCATTTCAGTGTCATGGCATCACTGGCCATGACATCTCATTTCTGTTATCACCTCTGAGGGATCTGTTCCTCTCACATCTCATGTCTTGCTAGGAAGTCCACATTGCTGACTTAATCTGAAAAATAGAAGCTATGAACTTGGTCTTCAATCCGATTGTCACTGTAAAACCCACTGTTGGTGAGACAGTCTCCAGGGTCTCCTTCTGGTCTACCCTGAATGCTGTTTTCAGCTCTATGGCTAACACAAGTCACATCAAACCTCACTTCTAGTCCTGTGACTCCAGCAGCTTGCACTATTCATGCACAGCATATAAACGGTCTTATCCCAGTGTCTGAGAGTTCACAGCACCAAAGAACCATCACACTCACGTCCTCCTGTGAGAATCCCAGCCACTGGGGCTGCATTGGCCTTTGCCCCACTATACACTTTGTATCTGAGTATCTTTGTCATGATGGCTCCAGCACCATCCAGGGCACTTTTCATCAAAATCCCAATAAGAATATGTTGTTGTTTTGACATGGAATCATTGTACATGTTTACAGGGTACAGTGTAGTATTTGGACAGTTGTAAATATTTTGTAATAAGTCAGAGTTACTGGCATTCCTGTTGCCTTATACACTGATCTTTTTTTATGATGAGAGCATTCAAAATCTTCTTTGAGCCATTTTGAGACATTCCATACAATACGATAAGGCGTAATTTCTCTGCTATGCGATGAAACACCAGAATGTGTGACTCTCATCTAACTGTGACTCTGTACCTATGTGACATTCTCTGCCTGTTTTCCCCTCCCCAGACTGTGGTAAGCATTGTTCCACCCTGCTGCTGTGACACCAACTTCTTTAGATTCCACACAGGAGGGTCACTTTCAAGTATTTCTTTTTCTGTGCCTCACATGTTTCAAATACAATATCCTTCAAGTCCACCCATGTTTTGGCTAAGGGTAGGGTTTTATATATATCTCCATCTATGCCTTGATGGACATTAGATTGATTTCTCATCATGTCTTTTATTGAGATTCCAATACAACTCCGATAAGGTTTTTTCTGCACACTTGTCATGATCACACTTATTTTAAGTTAAATGTAGGCTGATATATCTTGTTGTGGATTCCTACCAGACTGTTAATTTCTGAGGCCTGTTTATAGTGTCTGAAAAATCCTATTTTTGAAGGGATGCTCAGTCAACCTCTGCTTTTAATCACATCAGACTTCTGTCTTTTCCATCTTTCAAATCCTCTCAAGACACTTACAATTTCTTTTCCTGTCCATATAGACTTTAATTATGTCTATTTTAAAATAAAAAAAATCACTAGACTGTTTGAAGTCAATTGCAAACTCAAATTAAACCAGTAATTAGCCAAAATTTTCTTCCATATTGTTAAATCTTTCCATAGTTCTGCTTTAAAGTATTTATAAGGCACATTAAGAGGAGCTAAACTTCGGAGTACATGTTGTGAATAGACTTTCTAGAATAAAAGATGAATGTTTTCTGCCTCTGAGAGTTAGTGAGGAAATAAATTCATTGGAAAATTTCCCCTTCTTCTAAAATCACGAATGTCTATGAATCAGGAAATAGGAAAATTTCCAAAGTTTCTGTATTTAGGAAAATACAACAAAGGTGTCTGGATACCTGGAGTTTTAGAAGCCAGGAACATTTTGGGATTGTTAAAGTTTAATCCTTATCACCGGTATTTAAAATGACCAATAGACGTGGGTATTTTTAAACTCATTTGTAATTCAATTAAATATTAATGAAGGCCCCAGAGAGTGAATTACACTTGATATTGAAATCGTTACCAGAGAACCTTTATCAGAAACTCAAGTGCAACAAGCACAAGAGTCAGGATTGTCATAAAGAAAGAGGCTTGTAAATGCATGTGGTACGCCCAAACCTCGCCTTGTACGCCTCAGTGAAAGGAAGGCGCTTGTCCACTATTTTAGTGATGTCCTTTGGTGTTTAGCACAGCACGAGTCACAAAAGAAAAAAAAAAAAAAGCAAGTTTTTTTGGAAGGAGAAGGCGGCAACATCCATTCATAAAACCATTCATAAGCATTTTCTTTAATCAACACTGTCATTGTCATAGCCTGCTTGATCTTCCCACTTTGGGTTAATATGGGAGCCAATTACAGCTTCATCTGTGTAGAATTAACTTTATGGAGCACACACTGGGGATTTGTCTATCTTCACTGTTTAGATATATGCCATAAAAATATGCATGGAATGGAGTGTAAGTACTGCAGATGGCAGAGACTTTCAGATTTATTGTAAAATCATTTAAAATCGGGTATGCTCTTGCCAGAAGTTAATTAATTTTTTTTTTTCTGTTCCTTTCTGGGTCTGGGGGGTCGGGGGGTGTGGTTCTCACTAGGTGGCAGTGTATGATTATATCAGGAGAAGTCCCGGCATCAAGTCCAGTGTCTCCAGCTGTGACCTCCCACATCAAAATGAAATCTCCGTGTCTGCGTTTGGTCCAGGGGATGTTACTTCTCATGTGTCTGTATACACGGTTTATCCCAGTGGGTTCCAAAAGCTCTACCGCCATTTTCTCAGACTCCCTAGTGGCGCCATTGTTGAGGTATGTATATCAGAAAATATTTTGATGCAAAGGTTGCATATGCTATAGTGCATGAATGTTCATATGTACATATATATGTATACATAGGTATGTGTATGTTTATACATGATCTCAAAGGATTCAGTGTCACTTTGCATATTATAACTAATGCTTCTAGGATTAGAATTCTAGGCTTGAAGATGTATTTTAGTTTTTTCCTGAACACACAAAAATATATAGGGGCAAAAAGTTTCTGTTCATAACTGTGTCAGATACGGGCAGGAAACAAATAAAGTGAAGTAAACCAGGATCCTGCCTCCAATAACTTTTCCACAGGTAACATTTGTAAACATCAGCAGGTTGCTGATGGATCTGTGGACACGTCCACACTGCCGGAAGTGCTGTCTTTTGTTTACGTGAGCTGATACAGAACTAGTGAGGTGGTAGGATTTCATTTTTCCCATGAGGGAGATTTTTAAAAATGCAGGGAAGTATACAATATGTAAATCTTTAAAAGTGTTTTTAGTCTAGCATTTGGCCAAGGTGTCACAGTCTTGTTTCCTCCTAAAACTATCAGTCTTTAGATGGGCTGGTTTCAGTTTTAAAAGGTCCTATTACATCATATTGCTAGAATCCAAGTTCACATCATATTGAAATCTGAGACTTTACTGCATTAGCATATCTGCTGAATCATAAATCCTAAAAAAATGTGATCATTTGGTGGAAATGAAATTGGGAAAAGGGAAACTGTGAAAATAAAACATGTAAATTTAACAGTAGGATGCACGGTACTAGTTAATAAGAATTTGAAGTACGTGTATCTTTCCACCACATTCTCTGCAAACTTTAACCATTATTGTTTTTGTTGTGAAGTTGATGAAGATCTTTCCTTTTAAGAATCCCCTTCAATATAACCTTAAAAAAATGTCAAATTGTTTAGATTGTGTCTTACAGACAGGACATTTCTTCTTTCTACTGTACCAGCCCCCAGAATTATTTGAACACTTAAGAAGTCACATAAGGATTCTATAAGAGAGGCACAGATAGGTCAGAGAAGATTCCTCATCAGCTTGCTGTCCTCTTTCCCTTACCACAGTGTTCTACAAGAGAAAAGTGCATATATGAGAGCAAAGCAGCAGATGTAACAAGACGCTGATTGCATCTCATGAAACTCTTTGGGAGTTTGGGTCACGGGCACTTTTCTGCCTTATGAGCCCTTTGAGATGCTAAAGCAAAATACTTAGTTTTATTTAGTTTTTGCAGACCTGCTGGGATTTAATTTTTTTTTTTTACATTAAGATAAGCATGTGTTTAAATATGTGTGCTTATAAGGCAATGAAATAAGAAAAGTGGAGATGTCAGGAGCCTCTTCCTGCTGGAAAATCTTGTACAGCTCTTTGACCCATGGAGCCTCAGAAGCAAGCCCAGGTAGAGTGCAGCATGGTCTCCCGAGACCGGCGACCACCATGGTCCATCACTGGCTCGTCCCTTATCACTCTCTAGGCTTGGCTGAGTCATTTCTCATGATGCTGCCTATTTCCTTATCTGAAACTGGGTTATGAATACTTCTACTACCTGGCTCACAGGGATTTGGGGCAGATTAATGAGATAACAAGCACTTTTAGCTCTTTTATTAAAAAAGTACAGTAAAGATGGCAAATATATAGATCATGCACAATTAAATCCATTCAACTCGTAAACATTTTGTCAAGTACCAATAATAGCCTTGTGCTAAACAAAACAAAACAAAACAAAACAAAGCAATTTCTGGAAGACCTGAGTGGAGAGGATGTTGGTACTGTTCACCATCTCACTCTTTTATTGCCCTCATTTTTCATACAATTGCCTATTTTTATGGTAAAATATGGGTGTGCTGCTGGGCACTCGGGGGGGGGGGGCTTTTCTCAACAAATATTCTAGCAACTAGTAAACCAGCTTTTCCTTTATTTCAAGTTTCAGCCAATGCAGAGATCTTGCCCACTCTTGGGTCCACAGTTCAAACCTATTCATTGATTTTTTCCTGCTTTACTTTGCTTCTTTTTCTATAAAATCTTCAGAATTCATTTGAAACGGGACCGTCCCCCTTTAATGTTCTCTAACACTTATCAGGAGTGCTAGATTTTGTTATTTTAGTCTTTCTAAATTTATGTCCTGTATTACCTTGTGACTCCTAGAGGACAGCAGCCATAAAGTAATACCAGTCCCAGAGCAAATTAAGGACTAGGCAGATTGACTTTGAGGCACTCAACAGAGATGTCTCTTCCCTGACCCCTAATAGTCCCTGCCAGCACCATAATTGCCCTCAGAAGCTCCAGGACCTGGAAATGACAGAGACAGGAGACCTGTGCTGTGGAACCTCAGTAAGAATCAAAATCCACATATTATCTTTTCCAAGATAAATGCATTTAAAATACATTACAAATATCTCTTTAAGTTTTAAAATAATGGTTTTTACACAGTCCCTAATTGCCTTGAAGTTGCACCCTTGAATTTTCTTTGTATTAAGTACAGAGTGGAAAGTTGAGTGTATCAAAGTGTAATGAAATTTCAGGTCCCAAAATATGCTATGGGGTAGTAGTTTGGCACTTTGTGATTCTTAACATCAATGCTCACTTTATTTTTCTTAATGCAACTTGAATTTGAGACATGATTTAAGCCACGGTACTGGTGAGCTTTACACCAGGTTCTGGTCAGATATTCTGATACTGGGATACACAGGCAGCAAGGGCTGAGCCTAATTTATTTACAAATTACATTTAGTGATAAACAGGAAACATAAATGTAATTCTGCTTTACTTCTGTAACCGAACTTTATTCTCTAAGGTTTGGTGGTGTTTTTAAAAACAGGTTATCTAGTTATAAAAATTTCTTGGTGCGTTTAGCACATCTTCACTTGTCAGTAATGGTTTCTGATCCTCTCCTAATTCAGATATGAAATATAGGTCAGATATTTACCTCTCCCCTTTTTATTCTCAATAAAATCTTAGCCTCTTGAGATAGAAGCAAAATATCTTCCAATTGGTATTTGTGCAGAAAGCTATGTTTTTGCAAAGGGACAATTTCTGCATCAAAGAGGTTGGACTCCAGACATCTGGAATAGAAGTTATGTTGCAAACGTTGTTTTACATAGGTATGTTTTGCATCCCGGCACGTGGCCTAGGATGGCACAGCTCTTTCAATGTTATACTGGACGTGTTTTGCTTTTTAAAAAAATCCCTTTTGTCCATTTCTGTCCTGAATGCACAGTATCAGAGCTAACGTCTTTGCTCTGTTTCTTTCTGCCTCTCGGGCTCCACAGATTCCGAGTCTTCGCACAGCAATGCTTTGTCTCTTTGTTGGATGCGTAGGGTTACCTTGAGGTGTTCTATAAGGACAAAGTTATTCTAAAGTTTTCAGTGCTACAAAACCTAGAAACCCAGGCAAGACTGGTGCAGATTCATCAAGTTACAAATAAGCTTCCGGATCCCAGGGTAGCAGCCGCAATTAAGAAAATCCTTGGAGCATTCCTTTGGCGGAATGGGAAAACGGTTTTTTGTCATTAGAGGCAGTGTCGCCTGGTGGTCTGAGCCCAGAACTGGGAGCCAGGAACTCGCGATCTAAGGAGGCTCAGCAAAGCCCTCCTGCGCTGTGCGGCTTAAGGCGAGCAGCTGGGTCTCCGGAGGCCAACCTCACCTACTTTGAATCTCCCATCTGAAGAGCTCCTTAGCACAGGGCCAGGGGATACACAGCAGGAAGCCTGATTCCTTGTCTGCAAAATTAGAATATTAATACTTGCCTAAATAACGGATTAACCAATTAGTGATTCAGTGTTCTGCTGATGGAAAGCAGCAGGAGAAGACAGGAGAAAAACGAAAACTCAAAACACAATTTTATCCTTGATGGGTTTTACTGGGCTCAGGAGTTTGCTGCTGAGCAGTGAATCCGGGCCTTGCAGGGCAAAGAACAGGTGCAGAGGAACTGAGTCTTCCTAGTGTCATCCCCCTCAGGGTGGAGGCAGCTCAGGAGCTCCCCATCCTGGGGCTGCACGAAGTGGGGAGGGTGCCATGCTTTGTCCTCAGGCTTTGAATTACAGCCCAGAGTCTTACACGAAGGATTGAGAGTTTGTCACTTTTCCTAGAAAAGACCACTTAGTGTATTTGGAAATTCTACTTAACACGAATGATGTATTTGTTGTATGTGTGGATGTGTGTATGACAGAGAAGGGTGACAGCAAGGTAGGACGATTGGGAAAAGAATCAACAAGAAAATTTAAAAGTTTGCAGGACCCACAGACAGCATTCATTCAATGGATGCAAAGTGCTGGTATCTTACATTTTCAGAGGGAAAGCGACTCTGTCCGGTTAGTTTTCCTTTTGATTAAAGTTGCTGCAAGTGAGAAAGGGCCAATTTGTCCTGGGAGCCTTCTCATGGCACTTAGTTTCAGGCTGCTTCAGACACAGAACTCAGCCAATTACACAAAAATGGAAGAAAGTCCCATTTTCGTGTTGCATATTTAGAGTACTTGACCTTTGTGCGCACAGCATCTGTGCAAGGAGATGTAATGTGTCCTTTGACAGTGCTTTCCCATCATGATGCGATCCAAATATACCTTTCAAGGAAACAACACCAGCAACGCTGATGACTGTTCATGCAACATTGCTGAAACTGCCAAGCACACTAGTATGTTTTATTTCTGGCTTTGAAACTTGATAGTTTCATTTCTATTAATTTTTAGAAATAATGCCCTCACGCTATTTTGCTTATTTATTTCACTAAGAATGACTGTTTGTTTCAACTAAACCATACAGTTACCATTGTGTTATATCTAAAACTTAGATCCCATTGAAAGAAACTTTTTTTATAAAAGAGTACAAAACCAAAATAAAAATCAATTATTAGACTAGAATTAAATACAATGCTAATTACTAGACATTTTCCTGACATACTGCAATGGGAAGTCTTAGGGAGACTTACTCACTATTATATCTGATCTGAGCTGTATGGATTTAGCTTTCCTTAAAACTAGACAAAATTATTATTCGTGTACATGTGTCAAAACAGATTATATTATTTGTCCACGATAATTAGGTCAGTATGACTTGCTCTGAAATGCTCAGCTTTCCACAAAAACTAAAGAAGAAGCTTCCCACTTCTGGCTTCAGTTATCATTTTATATTAGCACTGGTAAACTTCAGAGGAAAATTAATGTTGTTTTTAAATGGAGCATACTGCAACTGTTAAGTTATATAACAGATTTCAAGCATTTAGAAACAATATTTACTTTAAAAAACCTACTCCAGTCCTAAGGCAAAAATTGTTACTTCTCAATAACTAACTTAATTTTACTATAGCTATGTGTGGTCATAAAGAATAGTTTTGATTCCACTTATCATATTTTGAGATGTGATTGCTAAATTGTTTTTAAAGATTTTATGGGTCTTTCCTAAAATAACTAATATTGCAAACTTATAAAATGCTAACTTTCATTTCCATTCACACTGTTTAAGACAATCAGTCATTAACTAATTCTGCTTTGTATGAATTATACATTTTAATTGATGCATTTAAAGTGATCACATATATTTATTTTGGAAATGCTTTTATGCCTAAAATAATTTGCATCATTTTGAAGTTTCTTTGATTCTCCAAATAATTAGAATTTATGGAAGTTAAAAAAGAATTATTCTATCATTACACAATATTCTATCGTGTCTACCACAATGATAAATAAATGTAGCATAGACCAGAAAAGAAAACTTTTTTGGGATTCTAAATCATAAGAAATGTCTCAAATGTCTTAGAAGGTATATTAAGTGCAAGGAAACAGTTCAAAAATAAGTCTTGGAATATGACTGAAATATACAGTTAAAGGAAATGTTTACTAAATAAACATCATAGAAGCGAATAATTAAATTTGTTGCACAGTTGTTACAAGTTGAATGTTTTAACTTAAAGATGTTTTCTTTTATTTTTATATCTTTTTCTCTCTAATTAGATTTGATGAAATATATTTTACAGGAGACTTAAACAAGAAAACTTTTGTTTCTTTTCATCTATTAATGTACATTTATTACAATATTTGGAAATTCTTAAATTTCTATGTTATAAATAAATTTGAAATCTATGCATTAAAAAGTCAATATATGAGATAAGCATTTTTCAGAGTATGTGATTTTCGTCTTCATTTGCCAAGGCTGCTTAATACTGGCTACTAAAAATATGGAAGATGATTCACTCATAGACACAAAAAAGAAAGTAAGACAAATATTTATACTTTCTTTTATTCATACACAAAGATACTAGGAAAATATTTTGGTGCCTTGCAACTGTGTCAGTATTAAATAAGAACTATCTACCAACGTGTTGGTTTCTTTTCTTTACTGGTAGTCTTTCCATGTTAGCTTATAGCACAACTTTTCCATAATTACTGGAAACAATTGTTTAATGATAATATGAATTAAGTTTGAGCAAAATAAAAGATGAATAGTAGGAAACAGGGAGGTAGGCACTGCAGAACCCCAGGAAAGGGAACCCCAGATGAAGGGAGATGGGAAGCAGAGAGGAAGAGAGGACAGAAAAACAGATGCTCTGTGCACATCTCCGGCTCCCCAAAATGAAAGCCATCATTGTGTGACGAACATATACTAATACAAAAGCATAAGAAAAAAATCTGCATTTGCTTACAGTGGTTAATTTTACCCGTGTATCCTATGAATTACTTTTAATCTCACATTTTGGAAACACTGATATAAAAGCATATAAATTTATTTTATGTGCACAATCACATATAGTACGCTGAATGACACTTAAAGAGAGTGATATAGTAACCGTGGCTTATTTCTGACGCAATCTTGACACTAATGCTAAATTACAACTTGGGAGCATCTAGCATTTTTACCTTTATGAGAAAAGGCTTTTTACATATTTAACATAATTCCAGGGAAAATAAACTGGAATTGTGTATCAAGATATGTACACTGTAACCAAGGGGCATTTATATTCCCCTGTAGAATACTTACAATGATTTTATTGCCATTTTGTGTCATTTTCTAAAGGATAGAAAATACAGCCAGTAAACAAACTAGACATTAGATTTAAGGTGACAGCTGCTCTTTCAGAGGCAATATTCAGATATTTAATCTTAAGAACGTTGAATATTTTACAACCAAGGAAAGTATACTTGTGCAAAAATGCTTTGGCTTCTAATTCTTGCAGCTGGGATGATCAGCACAGCTACTACTGTACACACCCATCGTTACTAATTCTTGGAGCATAAATCTGAAAACCAGCCCTTTGCTTCTTTAACTACTTGGAAAAAATGAACAAAATGTGCCATTTTTTTATTTTTACAAAAATCCAACACTCTCTAAACTGTTGATTCTACTGTAACTTAAAGTGTTGTATTATTTCTAGTTCTATTTTTGAAATTTACGGTTTTAACCTCATTTTAATAGACTCTTTACCCCTAGTTCATACTGTTGTGTTTCAGGTACAGCATCTGAATCCATGCAGAAGAATTTGAGCCTCATTTTAGAACTGTAATAGGTTTTACTATAGGTCTCCAAAAATTGCTTTCTTGTTATTGTGTGTAAATTAGTGTTACGAGTACTTAAGTCCTGTGCTGGGAGCAAATACAATGAAAACAAACTTCTGGCATGGATTTTCTATTTTATTCTTCCTCCTCTTCATTACCTGAACTGCTTAGAACAATTTCTCCCTGAAACTTTATCAATATTTTACATTTTTGGCAGCTGGATATAATGCGTTGTATCGGCTTGATTGTAAATAATCTCAATTTCATTTTTCCACTTAGAAATTTTAGGACATTCTTACTCTAATTAGCACACAGTTAACAATTCTTCCTAAGGTCTGCTTTAGCCAGAAAAGTTCTTAGAAATCCAGATCTTCTTTGTATTATAAAGGACTAGTCCTTGCTTCAAACACAAGACAGAAAGAGCTATGTGTGCTGTGAGCTGGGAAGCCACAGTGTCAACATTGAATACCAGATTCACATTGCAGTTCAAGATCCTTGCAGACGTCATTTTCTTGTTATATTTTCAGGCAGGCACATAGTGGTGCTTGCTTGCATTTTATTTGTTTACAATCATAAACTCTAAAACCAAGAATTGTGAGTGAAATCCTCAGTGGCTATACCCTCAACCACACTAGTTTCCCTTCCAAAAATTTTTCATTCTGGTAATTTTTTTTTGTCCATTTTTGTTGTTGTTAACTCTTATGATGGGGCTAGAATTTACAGTTCCATACTCTGCAGATTCACTGGTACCATATTATTTCTTAGAGGTAGATCCTGATAGTGGAATTACTAAGTAAAAGAATACAAGCATCGAGATGCACAGAGCTGTCGTTCTGGTTTGCACATTGAGACTGTCTGGAGAAGGAGGCAGGGAAGTTGTCTCATAAATGCCATGGTGCCTAGAATGCTTCCCAACAAACACTATTGTAAACAATCATGTAGGAAGATGTAGGAAGAATACAATGCATCATGAATGTGAGAGATTAGAAGATGACCAGGAGGAACCTGAAGGCCAAGGTCTGCATCTCGTAGGGGAGAAGCTCACTTTGAGAGGTCAAGCAAGAGAGGCTCAAAGAACAGGAAAGCTGTGGAGTCTGTGGATAGTCATATTCTCAGGAGGATTTAGTTTTGTGCATCAAAAGCACCTAACTTGTTCTTAGTCCTGAATGTTATTGATGATCCCTAATGAATGGGAATTACTGTAGCTCTTGCGATGGTAGGCTCAGTTCAGGATGTGATCGAATCTTTTTCCTCCCTTTATCTTCTGCTTCGTTTTGAAACTGTTTTCTCCCTAGGTTGGCATCACTCCAGACTTTATCATTCCTGTTCTTCAGAAGGGAGGGAGTTTCTTGTCCTAGTTTCCAGTCAGAAGCTTTCCTGCATTTGCCCACCGTGCCTCGTGACTGACTAGCTCTACGATTTATAGAGCTGGGGTAGTTGTATGAATGTGTCCTGGAACAAAAGAGCTTGTTGGATTAGCAGACGTCCTCTGTGGTATCTAGAAAAGGCAGTCAGTTTGCCGGTTTATAAGGAGAGATGGCTCCCTGCCTTTCTCTGGATGACTTTCAGTTCAAGAGGTCTTAAATTCTGGGGAAAACAAGCCTTCTGCAGAATGCTTGGAAACGTTAGATACCTTCAAGATGCAGGAGAGAAGCATGAAGACAGAGCAATGGGTGGTTATTACAAACAGTGCAGGAATAAAGCTAAACTTGTGTGATGAGGAGCAGGCTGCGGGCATGGCTGCAAGCCATGCTCCAGGGTCCTTTAGATACGGAGCCTTCCCTGGGAACAGTGAGCTCCTCCCAGAAGGAATGTGATACCGCATGTGCTCCCCAAATTTTAGTTTTCTCTGTACCCCATCAAACGCAAGTTACTAAAAAAGATTTCGGTTTTGTCTTTGATTTTGACATTTTTGGTTTCAGTGGAATTAGAAAAATTCGAATTTCAAATATATTTTAACAACTTATCACGATCCTGTGTTCTGTACTACTAAATGTAGACACACATTACTGTAGTATTGGATTGTTATAAAATTATTGTAAGGGTCATAAACGAAACTGAACCATAAAGCCTAAATTATACCTTTCTGTGAATCTGCAGAATTAGGAAAATATTGTGACATTTGGGGGAATTTCAAAAGTGAAAAAAAATAGCAGTTTTTGGTTAGCCCATCTAGATGTCTTTGAAATCTAGAATTAGTGAATGTTCAATTAGTGAATTAGTGTGTGTTCACCTTGTCACTGCTTTCAGGTGTTTGGTGACATCAGTGCCTTACAGTTTGTTCCCAGTGAAGTGACCACAGCTATTCAAGAGCACATAAGTGGAATGGACACTGTGCTCAGAGACTCCTGTCCTACACACCCAAGGGACATGAACGGGATCCAGTAGAGTGAAAAGGTATTTCTTTCCTGCCAGTTAAGTATTCAGCTCTACTGTGGGTGCATGTACCCACTAAGCCACCGACTGCCAGGTCTTCTTGTCTTCCTAATGCTCCACTGCAGTAAATTAGTCACAAGGAAAGGCCCAGCTCAGCTTCCTTGTCAACCCTTCTGCCTACTGAAGGAGAAGTCGTCTAACAGCAGTGGGCATTAGAACAGCGGGAGTTACTGTGACCAGGGAAATAATGTGTTCGGAGAGGACAGAACTCACGTGTAGCACAGGAGACCTACTTGTCAGCCTGGATTTGGAGAGGAGTAGGATGACATTTGTAATGTTCTTTCCTGGTAGTTTTCTGTTGTATAGCAGGACTTAGGGGAATGGCCAGAGTTAAATCCAAAATAAGTTCGTCTTCCCCTTGCATAGCTGGACATTTTCACATTTTTTTCCTTAGAGCAAATTTCCAGAAAAAAATTATCAATGAAGAGTCTGGTATCTCAGATTGGTTTGCAGAGCATGGAGTTTGTGTTCTAAGTGGACAACAACCAAGATCAAAAGTGGTGGCTTGGATTTAGGGAGTTTGCACTCATTTCTACTCTCTCTAGGGGATCAAATTAACACTTCCTTCTTGGCAGGTTTTCTATGACCACTTCGTTTCCCCTCTCCTCCCTTCTATTTGCTGAAAGTTTACAGTGAAATTGATTACTACACACAGGCATCAGAGAGTCGCTGGGTCATTAAAAATCTAGCATCATTAGGAATCCTTTGCCTTCCATCTACGAGTACAGTAGATACCTGGGGGAGTGAGCTTCTGCTTCTCCTGTGGGGAACCATGAGCAAGTCCTCCTGTTAGCCACAGCTCACATACGGAAATCAGTGCTTGTTCAGAGTCCAAACGGAAACCTCAGGTAGAAACGGGACCGCAGTCAAGCTTGGTGGTTCTCAGGGCTTGGTTTTTATCATGTGTAATTATAGTACCGACAGTCTAACGTGAGAAGTTCACATCACAGATTATATTTTATAACCTTTCTTCAGGCAGAAAGTATCACGTGCATAGACACTGCACTTTTATCTAACCAACATATAGTTGAATCTCTATGGATAGATCCCGACTTTATAGAAACAAATAAACATTCTAAACACACCTCAGGTAACTAGAATGTTCCTTCAGTTACTTAACTATCTATCACTGATGGTTTCCACCTCCACTTTCACAAATATAATGACTCCGAATGCAGATCAAAGATATTTTCTCCACGGACCGGTTTCATATCCTCATTACACACTTTTGTGCATGAGTTACCCGCAGAGAACTCTTAATGATGTATCTGACTAAACAAAAGGTATTTTAGTGCCAGGGGCCACTCAGGGGCTCCCTAAACTCTTGCTGTGGGGAAGAGAAGGAAAGGGGATGTTGGAAGACAGGAGTTCCCGGTCTTTACTGCGCTCTCATTTATAATGCAAAGCCAAACAAGTAACAAAAGTTGGGCCATAAACATTAAAGCAAATTTTATGACAGACCTGTATCAGCATGAAATATATTGAGAAGGGATCGAGTTATGTATCTGTGAAGGTTTCTGCACCTTTTCTGAATTTTGTTTCATTATTAAGTCAAGTTCATAAATCAAGTGTAGTTGAAAATTGCCACGGTTTTTACTGAGTAGTTATTAGCTTAAATGGATTGATAAATAGCTCAGATTTATAGACCCATCACGTCTATTTTTACTTCTTCACTGAAATTTAAGCTTTACAGAGGCAGGAAACATTCTGTACATATCTACTATTTCTTGCCCAATTCCTACCACTGTACTTTAAAGTAGAAAGTGCTCATTACATTTCTGCTGCATGAAAAAAAAACTAGTATGACAGCTCTCACTGAAGTTTATCCTGAATGAGCAAAAAAGAGATCAGAAATAACTGGAATTCTTTTTTATTTTTTCATACTTTTGTTTAGGAAATCAGCGTCCTCGATGGAAGGATGAGTATAATGAAGAAGCCTCCAGTGTCCCACCTCTGAAGGACGCCGAGGAGCGTGCTCTGCCCCTTAACCTAAGGTGTCTTCTAATACTTTATCATAAGGCCTGAGGTTTTCAGTATTTTAAATACATCTGAAGTGTGTTTGGTTGCTGTTTTCACTTTATATTTGTTTTCCGGGTCACTAACCTATTACTGAATAATAAAGATGAAGTAATAGGTTCAGCATCTGAGTCTCTATGAGTTTTATTGTATATTTACATCGGTGAGGGATGGGTAGAGATTTGCTAACATGTTTTCACAAGTTCTCTCTTCTCGTCAAGAAGAACCTTTCTGATGTTCCTGGATTCATTGCTGTGACCCAGTCCAACTGAAGTAAGATTTTTGGCACATCCGAAGTAAACAGTGCATTTGCATTAGCATTGAAAAAACCTATTTAATTATTTAAATTTTATTTTAAAGGGAAAAATTCAAAACAAACTAATAGGAGAATAGCAATGGTTAATACACTGCATATTGTTATTTTCAAAGAAGTTACTCAAAGTACAAGACATAGGCAGGAAACAGTGTCTAAACAATATCAGCACAAACCTTTCTTTTCAATGAAATAAGGGAAATTAGCATTATAACTATTTTAACTATCTTGTATATATGTATTTTTCCTTTTCCTTTGCTTCTTTTCTCTTTTCTCCTTTTCCAGTTTCTCTTTATTTCCTCATGTGTCTGCATAGTTTTTGAAGAAAAATATCTATTCATTTGTTTGAGATAGAAAAATGCTAGTTTAGCTTATACTACTAGTTATTTTTGTTCGTTTAAAAAACTTATGTCCTATTATGTGTATTTTTTTCTTGTTTTTGAGAGGGTCAGTCCTTTGTCTATGAGTATTACTCTAAGTAACATTGTGGCGATTCTTTTAATATCATAGCACAGCGTATATTAACTCTTATTATCCTTTATTTTATTAGGAAATTTTGTTTTATTTTTTCATGGAAATAAAAGGAGCACGTTTTATATTTTTCTGTTAACATCTACTTGTACTATGTTATAAAGTTTTTTAAAGCAAATGGAGGAAGGAAAAAGTCTTTATGGTTACAAGCAATTTATTTCATTTTTCTGTAGCCCTTTATGAACTGCAAGGAATAATTCTAGGGACACAGAGCTGAGAACAATGTTTCTATGCAGATTTCATCAAATTCTAACGGGTCGGGCGCTAGTGTAGGTCCCCTTAGGTAGCAGTGTATATACTTCTGTACAGTGCTAAGTATTTTTTTTTAATTCAAAATAAACTTTAGGAGAACTATATATCTGTGAATGTGACCATCAGGTTGTTTTTTCAGTCTGTTAAGGATAGGTTAACGATTATTTTTAAGGAATCTGTGAGTAAAACAATTCCTGTGAACTCATGCACACATTTTCAGTGATTCCCTAAGTAACTGCATCTCTAGTGGTATAGTTGGTTAACATTTGTACATTGATAGTTTTCCATATAAAGATGATACACAATGTTAAATATGATTATAATTGAAATTGTAAATAAAAAATCATTTTAATAGCTTTATATTTGCTCTTGCCTACTGTGCCCTTTATTGTAGATTATTCATTTGGCTTTCAGTTCTATTAAGGAATAAAAATATAAATAATAAGGAGTTAAATTTTAAACACTTGTTATAAATTTCAAAGTGAAATCTATTAAGTGTTCTTTGCATTAACTTCTGTGACAATAGATTGTGCTTAGTGTCAGTTAAGCATGGCATGAAAAATGGATGCTTTTCTTCCTTTGGTTAAATACGGTATTATGTGGTATGCACTAGCATTAAAAGTAAATTATGTATAACTTCAATAATCACAGCGTGAGTGCTTTCTATTGGAAACTGTATTCCAGTCTTCCTTGGTTCTCAGTTTTAGTAAATAAATCAACTGACAATGCCTGGGTAAGCAGAAGAAACAGCCTTGTTGGTGGTATGCTATTTCTATTTTATAAGTGCTTATTTGAGATGTCTTCAAAGTCCTATGTTCTATATATGTCAGTTACTAAGAATTTACACGCTGAGCATTATACACGCAGCAGACAGGCTCATCTGGTCTAGTCACCTACATGAAGCACAAACCCTTTCTACGGGGTCACACTAGTGGGCCTCCTGGCTTAATTTTAAACACTGTAAGAAATGGGAAAATAATTATTTCAAGTGACAAGTCGCCACCATGAGAAAGTCTGTCCATAGTTAGAAATAGCTGCTACTGTGTGTCAGTAGCCTGCTTAAGATGGCAGTGAAGAATCTTGGCACATGGCAGGTCCTAACTAAACAGCCGCCCACTGAGGTCTTTAAATCTACATTCTTTATTTTCATTTCAGTGTGTTTTATACATTTTCCTTTCTGTGGATGGTGAGGAAAGGGGTGTAGGGAGAGTAGATACACACAGGGGTGAAAAAGAGATGTTCAGTGCCACCTCTAAGGACCCAGCAAAGTTTCCATATTGCCCCTCAACATACATGATAGTTTTGAATGTATTCTACCAATACTTGAACTGTTTTAGGTGGGACCGAATATGTAGTTACACATGTTATATACATGTATAGTAAATACTGTGCGGTGAGTCAGTGATTCACAGCATGTCCTCAGGGATATGTTGGATGGAGGATTTGCTTCATCCCAGACATTTGCAGCTGCCAGGTTAGATTGGAATCAGAAGAAACTGAATCTGCTGAGATCCTGAGAGAAACAGAATTCTTTCCTAAAATGATACAAATTCTTGAAAGATAAACTCCTCCATGTCTAGGCCCAAATAAGGACTCAGTAATTTTATGATGAAAGAGCGGATGGGTGAAGGAGATGAATGTCATGCCACAGTGGTTGAGAGCTCTCCAGGTTAAGTTACTTGAAGAAATTTTCAACTGCCCTGAGATGTCAAGCCCTGTGTGCTAATCCAGTGATGTCATCAGGTGCACGGGCACCAGCGGTCTAGGATTGCACAGCTGGAGGAACTCTTGGGATATCTGGGTATCTGATGCATTGTCTGTCCAGCCTCCGAGAGAGGCTGCCTAGTGCTGGGGCCCCCTGGTGCAAAGCTGAGTGCCTGGGAGTGGCCAGAGCTACGTGGTGAGGTAGGGCATTTGAAAGAGGCTCAGCTGGGCACCAGGGAGAGCCTATTGGGACCTAGGGTGCAAGGGTTCTTCTTCTTCTGATGCTGACTTTCTACTTTGGAAAACTCCACCCTTTCTCTGAAAGGCCTTGGCTGTCTAAGTTTGTTTGCTCACTAATTCAGTGCTCAGTGTGAGGCAGTCGCATTACTGGCTTAATAGTTTCCTTCAGGAAGGCCTCAGAGGCAGATCCAGCCACGCTCTCCTGTGAGTCTTACTGGAACCTGCCCACGGGCTGTGACTGGAGAAGGGAGGGTGCCAGGCACCCTGGGTGGGGAGGCAAGGTAATGCGTAAAGAGAGAGAGGCAAAAAGTAAGGAAGAAGGAATCAATGGAAGAACGAGAGGAAAGGAGAAAGAACGGGGGAATGCAGGCATAGAAATGACTTGTTCAATCAGTGCTTTGCACATCATGAATTTTACTTCAGAAATATCATACAGTTTTCATTTTGAGATAGCCTCTTTCCTCAACTATTTCTAGTAAAGATAATATTAATAACATACTAATGAAAGTGACAATTTCGCTATCGGAATCCACTTTTTCTTATAATTTATGATAGTTCTTCTGTATTAGTTTCACCAAGAGCTTTGTGTGTCCTGTATATCACCAAGTCAGGACAATGGTATTCACATAGTGGTTTGCTTTTTAGTACATGTTTTTGCATAGCGCTACATTTTTATGTAGTTTAATACGTAAAGCTTTACTTCATTGTTAATGGTATTTTACATTTTACAATATGGTATTTTGAAATGTCTCTTTTATTAGATAATAAGCACATTTTAAAAAGCACATTTAACTCATTTCTCTTTTTCCTGGAAATTGTTGCTGTTCTGTTGATTTTTGTCTATTCTCTAGCTAGTACAAGTGTCCTCTAATGCAAGTAGCCTTAAACAGCGATGCCCTATGATTAAATAGCACAATGCTGATAAACACTTTTTGGCAACATGAGAATAAGCAGAAGAGCAAAGAGCACAACTGGAAGAATCCTGGAGCCAGCAGCAGGTACACATGAGAGCATATTAGGTGCCATTTCTTCTATGTTGAGTGTGTTTAAATGTTTTATAGTAATAAGGTTGTATAGTATATATGGAACAAATAGAATATTAGATTACACATGCACTAAGTTACATTTTCAAATAAAAATAATGACAAAGAAATGTTCAGTGTATGTGGAGAGAAAGAGCAGGATGCTTACACTATGATTTCTGTGGTAAAAACACACATTGCAAATAAAGACCTTAAAATAACATAGGTGCATTACTAGCAGCTCCCTAAAGGTGTTGAGATGATAAATTTTATTTTATTTTATTTTACTTTAGTTTGGAACTGGGAATTGAATTCAGGACCTGGCACTTGCCAGGCAGGCATCATGCCCCTAAGCTATATTCCCAGCCCTAAATTTTATAATTTTATTTTTCTCTAATATTATTCACTACATTGTAATTCTTTATAACATGTTCATGATAGTCTTATGATCAATGCTAAAATATGTGATTTATTTGCAAAATTCAGTGAAGAAATAAAGTGACATCACCTGCAAAACTAAGCTGTGTTATACTTATGAACATTAAGAGCGATGTCTGAAGGTAGGATTCTAGGAACGTCTTAGAAGACTAACCCTGTAGGAAATCAGAACAGAGACCCATGACTAGGAGACAAGCTTATATAAAAATATGATAGGACGAAATAGAAAAGGAAGATGAATGGAGTTAGAAAAGATTAGCAAAATAAAAATTCAATTGTCAAATTAAAAGACATTTCTGAGGCTTGAAAGGGCAGATTGCTGCTGCAAAAAAATCACATCACACCAAGTCCAGGTGTTTCACTGACTGCCTACCACTTCCCGTCTTCTCAGTCCTCCGGACTGGCCCCTAACAGTCCTCCAGTGTCCCATCAGAAACCGTTCCTAGGTTCTATCTAGGCTGCTCTTTCATCCTTACCAGCTTCATTTCCATAGCCAGCCACTCTCTCTTACACCCTGTGCTTACAGTGCCCTCACCTCTCATTTCCTCCTATCACTTAGAGCAACCACAGCCCTCAGCGAACCCACCTGTGCCTGATTTG